TTTGGGGTTGCCTTTGTAGTTTTTCTCTGATCCTTCTCATGCTCTCTTCCATAGTTGGCTGGCTTGCTTTAGCGATATCCTTGGATTCCTTTCTCTTTATTCTTTGCGTATCTATCGGTGGTTTTTGATTTATGGTGACCGTTAGGTTTGTATATAACATCTGCATATAGCAGTGTATATGAAGTTGATGGTCGCTTAAGTTTGAAGCCATTCTGTATACCACCTCTGGTTTGGGTTTTATATGGTGTCATATTTTATATCCTTTTGTTTTGAGAATTCCTTGACTGATTTTTTTTTTTTTTTTAACAGAAATACTCACCTTGACTGCTTTTTTGTTTCTTACTTATCATACTCTCGCTTATGGTCTTTCCGTTCTACTCAGCAAGTCCCCTTTAGTATTTCTTGTGGGGCTGGTTTGTTGGTCACAAGCTCCGTTAGTTTTTGTTTGACAAACTCTTTTTCTCTCCCTCTATTCTGAATGACAGTCTTCATGGATAGAGGATTCTTGGTTGCAGATTGTTACCTTTCAGCACAAGGATACTGTTTACCACTTGGTTTTCTTCCTGAATGTTCTATCCATTGATGTGAGTGAGTTGTTAAAGTCCCCTACTTTTATCGGATTACTGTCGGTTTCACCTTTTTTGTATGATATTTTCTTAGGCATTTAAATTTGCTTTAACATCGGGTGGATTTGTATTCATAATTGTTATATACTATTGTTGGATTGATTATCATTGTGTGATGTTCTTCATTGTTGCTCGTTACACACTACATTTGAAAATCGATTTTGTCTGATGTAAGTATTCCTACCCCAGTCTTTTTCCCCTTCCCATTTGCATGGAATATCTTACTCCATCTGTTAACTTTCAGTCTGTGTGTTTCTGAACATACAGGTCTGAAGTGAATCTCTTATAAGCAGTGTATAGATGGGTCTTTATAATTTTGTAGAAATTTTTAATGTTTGTTTTGAGAGGAAGATCACATGCGCGTGAGCAGGGGAGTGGCAGAGAGAGAGGGAGAGAGAATCCCAAGCAGCCTCCATGCTCTGTGCAGAGACAGATGCAGAGCTTGCCCTCACGACTAATAGGTCATGATCTAAGCTGAAATCAAGAGTCAGCTGCTCAACCAACTAAACCACCTAGGTGCCCCTATTTAGGTCTTTGTCGAAAAATTCATTCTGTTACCATATGTCTTCTCATTGGAACATTGAAACCGCTTAAACTTATTGCTGGTAGGTATTTACTTATTGCCATTTTGTTAATTGCTTTCTGGTTGTTCTGTTTTTCTTGCTCATAATTGATGAGTTTCTTTAGTGTTAATGCTTAAGTCTCTTTCTTTTTATATTTTGTATATCTTCTATAGATTTTTGTTTTGAGGTCACTGTGAGGTTCATATATAACATCCTAAGTGTGTTGTAGTCTATATGAAATTGATAACTACTAAAGTTCAGAAACATTCTGGCAGAACTCCATTTTTATCCCCTCCACGTTATTTATATATATATATATATATATAGTCATATTTTACATCTTTTTATTTTGCAAGTCCTATAACCAGTTTTTTAGATATAATTGATTTGGTCTTTTAGCCTTCATACTTGCTTTATAAATAATTGACCTGCTATCTTTACTATCAGTTTGTTTTTCTTCATGAAATTTTTAAAAATAATTTTCTTCCAATTCTGACCTTTTCTTTCCACTTAACGAGGTTCCTTTAATGGTTTTTTTTTTTTTTCCTGGTTTAATGGTGTTAAACTCCTTTTAACTTTTTGTCTGGGAAACTCTCCTTCAGTTTTTTTTTTTTTTTTAACACTATATTATTAAGTACTCAATAAATTACACTAGTATTGGAGGATACTTTTGTTTATTTTTTTCTTTTATTATTTTTTAAAATTTACATCCAAATTAGTTAGCGTATAGTACTATAATGATTTCTGGAGTAGATTCCAGTGATTCATTCCCTATGTCTAACACTCATTGTGCATCCCAACGAGTGTCCTTCCTGATGCCCCTTATCTACTTAGCCCATCCCCCCTCCCACAACCCTTCCAGCAACCCTCAGTTTATTCTCTGTATTTAAGAGTCTCTTATGTTTTGTCCCTCTCCCTGTTGTTATATCAGTTTTGCTTCCTTTCCCTTCTGTTCATCTGTTTTGTCTCTTAAAGTTCTCATATAAGTCATAAGTTTTTGTCTTTCTCTGACTAATTTCACTTAGCATAATACCCTCCAGTTCCATCCACGTAGTTGCAAATGGCAAGATTTCATTCTTTTTGATTGCCGAGTACTACTCCATTGTGTATATATATACCACATCTTCTTTATCCATTCATCCATAGATGGACATTTGGGCTCTTTCCATACTTGGATTATTGCCAATAGTGCTGCTATAAATATTGGGGTGCATGTGCTCCTTTGAAACAGCACACCTGTCTCCCTTGGATAAATACCTAGTAGTGCAATTGCTGGGTCATAGGGTAATTCTATTTTTAACTTTTTTTTACAAATACAATTTATTGTCAAATTGGCTTCCATACAACATCCAGTGCTCATCCCAACAAGTGTTCTCCTCAATGCCCGTCACCCACTTTGCCCTCTCCCCCACCCCCCATCAACCCTCAGTTTGTTCTCTGCATTTAAGAGTCTCTTACGGTTTGCCTCCCTTCCTCTCTGTTTGTAACTATTTTTTTCCCCTTCCCTTCCCCCATGGTCTTCTGTTAGGTTTCTCAAGATCCATATATGAGTGAAAACATAGGATAGCTGTCTTTCTCTGATTTACTTCACTCAGCATAATACCTTCCAGTACCATCCATGTTACTGCAAACGGCAGGATTTCATTCTTTCTCAATGCCAAGTAGTATTCCATTGTATATATAAATAACATCTTCTTGATCCATTCTTCAGTTGATGGACATTTAGTCTCTGTCCATAATTTGGCTATTGTTAAAAGTGCTGCTATAAACATTGGGGTACAAGTGCCTCTGTGCATAAGCACTCCTGTATCCCATGGGTTAATTCCTAGTGGTGCTATTGCTGGGTCGTAGGGTAGTTCTATTTTTAATTTTTTGAGTCGCCTCCACACTGTTTTCCAGAGTGGCTGCACCAGTTTGAATTCCCACCAGCAGTGCAAAAGAGTTCCTGTTTCTCCGCATCCTCACCAACATCTGTTGTTGCCTGAGTTGTTAATGTTAGCCACTCTGACTGGCGTGAGGTGGTATCTCTCAGTGTGGTTTTGATTTGTATTTCCCTGATGTTGAGTGGCATTGAGCGTTGTGTCATGTGTCTGTTGGCCATCTGGATGTCTTCTTTAGAAAAGTGTCTTTTCATGGTTTCTGCCCATTTCTTTCCTGGATTATTTGTTTTTTGGCTGTGGAGTTTGGTGAGTTCTTTATAGATTTTGGATACCAGCCCTTTATCCAATATGTCATTTGCAAATACTTTTCCCATTCCATCAGTTGCCTCTGAATTTTGTTGATTGTTTCCTTTGCTGTGCAGAAGCTTTTATCTTGATGAGGTCCCAATAGTTCATTTTTGCTTTTAATTCCCTTGCCTTTGGAGATACGTCGAGTAAGAAATTGCTGTGGCCAAGACCAAAGAGGTTGTTGCCTGCTTTCTCCTCTAGGGTTTTGATGGTTTCCTCTCTCATGTTCAGGTCTTTCATCCATTTCGAGTTTATTTTTGTGAATGGTGTAGGAAAGTGGTCTAGTTTCATTCTTCTACATGTTGCTGTCCAGTTCTCCCAGCACCATTTGTTAAAGAGACTGTCTTTTTTCCATTGGATACTCTTTCTTACTTTGTCAAAGATAAGTTGGCCATATCTTTGTGGGCCCGTTTCTGGGTTCTCTGTTCTGTTCCATTGATATGAGTGTCTGTTTTTGTGCCAGTACCATACTGTCTTGATGATTACAGCTTTGTAATACAGCTTGAAGTCTGGGATTGTGATGTCTCCAGCTTTGGTTTTCTTTTTCAGGATTGCTTTGGCTATTCGGGGTCTTTTCTGGTTCCATACACATTTTAGGATTGTTTGTTCTAGTCCTGTGAAGAATGCTGGTGTTACTTTGATAGGTAATGCACTGAATATGTAGGTTGCTTTGTGTAGAATCGACTTGGATCATTGCTTTGAACTCTTTATTGGGCCTATTGCTTATGTCTGTTTTGTTTAGCTCTTTCTCTGAAGTTTTTGTCTTATTCTTTCATTTGGAGCATATTCCTTTGTGTCCTCACTCTGACTTTCTGTGTTTGTTGCTATGAATTAGGTGGAAGAGTTGGTTCTAGCCGTTCAGGAATGGCCTTATGTAGGGACATCACCTGTGTAGACCATGTGTGCCTGTTGGGTTTGGCTGCCTGATGGAATAGCTCACAGGCATGGGCCAGGGGAGAGGTGGGGGTGTCCCAGTGTTGGCCCCACTGGGACCACTGTGATGGGAAAGCTGGAGCTTGGACAGGTGTGGGTATGGGGCCGGGGCTGGTGCAGGTTAGGGCCCCGGGGCTGGGCGTGGTGGCAGGCCAGCCAGGGCACTAGGACCTTGCCATCAAAGTGGAGGGGAACATCACCTGTTTTACCCACCAGCTCACCCCACGCTGGACCTAGTCCCAGCAGCCCCCTTGCCATTTGGCAGATGATCGACCCCTGGTTCCTTTTATAAACTGTAGCTTTTTTGGGGGGGGGGGGGGTGCCTGGGTGGCTCAGTTGGTTAAGTGTCTGACACTTGATGTCCGCTCAGGTCATGATCTCAGGTTTCATGAGATTGAACTCCTAGTTGGACTCTGTGCTGACATTGCAGAGCCTGTTTGGGCTTCTCTCTCTCCTTCTCTCTTTGCCCTTTCCCAGCTCAGTCTCTCTCTCTCAAAAATAAATAAATAAATAGACATTTAAAAAAATTTTTAAATGATTAGAAAAAATCAAGTGTTGTGATAGAGTCCCCTACCTAAGGAATGTGGTGAGAAAAAAAAAACCCTCAAGATAAGGGAACGCAACCTGGCTCTCTGACTGAACATGACATTCTTCACGACGCTGTCTGTCTGTACGTGACATTCCTCAAGACCCTGTAACATGAGGCCACCCAATCAGACCTTATGTCTGTGTATTACCATGTATGCGAGACCAAGAAGTAGAAAATTTATAAAAGGCTACACCTCACCACGCTGGGGGCTCAGTTTTCGGGGTATGAACCCACTGAGCCGATGCTGGCACGAATAAAGCTGCTTCCTGGATAGAAAGACCTCAGTGTCCCGTACCTCTGTGCGAGAATCCTGCCACACTGGAGGGTTTTTTTCCTCTCTCGCCACAGGGCAGACAGATCTGCTCCAAGTTCCTTAGTCCTGCCGCAGTTGGCAACACCAGGGTGGGGTCCGTCCCTCCCACTTTTCTCCCTGTGGTCCCTTTGTCCTCTGTCGCACAGGAGCTGTTCATTCGGCCCTCAGTGGTTCTTCAGGAGAGACTGCTCTGTATGCAGGTGTGGATTTGGGGAAGATGTGGTGTGTCCGTGAAGGAGGCGCGTTTGGGGTCTCCTGAGTTGCCATCTTGGACCCTCCGTCTTCGGAATTCCAGTTTTACAACTGCTGGCCAAGAAGGCTTCTCTGAGAAAGTGACACTTGAGTAAAGACCTGAAGAAGTGAGGGCTAAAAGCGCGTTGAGGGTAATGATGGACAGGAATGCCCTGGGAGGGGAGGAGGGCGCACAGTCCTTGGGAGGCTGTCAGAAGGCCGGGGTAAGGGGTTGGATTTCCACGGAGAAACACGGCCTCCCAAGGGTGACGATGGTGCTGTTTGTTGCTGTGGGGCACGGGGGGCGGAGGGAGCCAGGTAACACTGTAGGTGGCAGAGGTGACGGAAGAGGTGACGTCCACAGGAGACACTCCTGGTGGGATCAGTCTCAGCCCTGCGCTGGGAGTGGGGGAAGATTCTCTGCAGCAGGGGCGGCGGCAGGAGCGAATAGGGGAGCCTTTGGCCATGTTTGGGGAACGGGCTGTGGCCCAGCTTTCCTGGCACACAGAATAGAGAGAACTTGAGGGCCAGGCAGAGCCACGCATCTCGCCTCAAATTTTGCAGCTGGACGGCTTTCACGTGGAGCAGGGGAGTGAGGCCTGATGGGTAATGTGTCCTATCTGGATCTGCGAACCCACCGGAGGGTTTTCAGCATGGGACAGACCGACCTTTGTCATGACTCTGAGAGAGTATTCTGGTTGCTGCTCTGTGGAGAGTGGGGCTGGCCGGGGAAAGAGGAGGATTGGGAAGAAGGGGCCTTAATGTCGTACAGGTTATTTACAGGCCAGGGCAGTGGCACTGGCTGGCCCTCGGTGACGGGTACAGGATGTTACGTGTCCTGGATGGCCATGTGGCGAAACCCTCGCCCGGCTTCCCCCCAGTTGAAAGTCGGGTTTCATTTGACCTCAGAGGCGTGTCCCTCACACGGGCCCCTCTTCTGCCCACTGAACTGGTCTTGTTTACGTGCTCACGGGGAGGGACAAGCAGGCAGGTGCCCCATTGCTGACCCTCTTCTAGATTCATCCACCTCCTCAAAATTGTGTTCTACCATTTAGATGTTGTTTAAAAATCTCCAGTATTTTCAGTGGCCCTTGTACTGCCTGTGTGCAGGGACCCCACGCCCAAATTCTCGAGGAGGCAGCCCCGCGGTGGGGCCGCGTCCGAGAGAACACACGCTGGGCCACGGGTGTTCGGACAGCAGTGAAACAAGAACGCTGTGCTGGCCAAGGATGAAGTCTGTTGCTTGCTCAGGCTGCTGCAGCCCCTGTTTGTGATGCTTTAAAGGCCCCAATTCCGAGCTGCTCAATAGGGATGTCTGCAGTCTGGCCTCTTTGGGTCTCCCAGCTTGCCCCCCGCCCATGCACGCAGTAATTTAGCCATCTAAGGCCACTGTCCCCAGAAGGCTCTCTGTCACACCCCCTTGCCTCTGTGTGTGGTTTCTTCTGACTTTTAGGTTTTCTGCCCCCATACAGCAATCACCCTCTGGGAGCCGGGTTCAAGGTCACTGTCTCTATGAAAATGTCCTGTCTTCCCAGAGCACTATCACAGGTTGCAAGCATCCCGCACTGTTTCCTCTGTTCTCTTCGGACTAGGACCTCCTCAAGGGCAGGAGCCAAGTAACCTGCTAGCGAACACGTAGCCTTGAACGTGAAGGAGGTGGTGGTCATCGTCCGTTCTCTCCGCGTAGTTTCTTCTTCAGCACCTCCTTCAGTAGCAGCTACTTGAGCGACTGATGAATGAATGAATGAGTCAGTCAAAGAGAAAAACGGAATCCGACACAGCCACTGCACTTGTGGCACACGTGCTTCGGACAGAGGGAGAAAGACGGTGAGCCGGTAGCTCCTCTAAAGCCGGCCCCAGGACCCCAACAGAGGGCTGCGCTCAAAGGGTATGAGCCTCCCTCCTGTCAGAAAGGCTGGAGACAGCTGTAGGTAGAGGTTGGCCTTTATGTGGAGCCGGCTATTCTGTTTGTGCTGGTAAAGTGGAGCAGCAGGTGCCGGAACCTGGAGGGTTGAGAGCGCGGACCGTGCCCAGCGTGGGCGGGGTTGGAGGTCCAGGGTCTCTGATGGGTGCAGGGGCGGGTGGTGGATCCGGAGGTCACCGTGATCGGGGGGCTCCGCATGTTGTAATGAGGCATCTGTCTTCATCATGCAGGCAGTGTGTGTGTGTTGGGGCGGGGGGGGGGGGATGAGCTGGAGGTGGGCAGCCAAAGGCTTCTAGGAAGCGTATTGTTAGGTTAACTCGAGCTACAGAGCGGAAGGGAGAGGGGTTTGAGGGAGGCCGAGTAGGCAGTGGTTCCCAGAAGCCTGAGTCCAAGCAGGGTTTGGGCAGGCGGTGATGAACCTGACATCTAGAAAGTGGGCTGAATGGAGAGCTTGGGAACCGCCGTGTGTGGTGTGAGGGAGGGAAGGAAAGGCAGGGGGCGAGGCGCCATTATGTCACAGGTTCTGGTGCTGGACGTTCTGCACGGCTATTTTATTACCCCGGTGCTCCTGGAAGCTGGGTAAAAATATTCCTTTTATTCAACAGAGGAAGTGGCTGAACTTCACCACGAAGGACTTGACTGCCCGAGGTCGTCCGTGTGGTGATAGGCTTTCAGATCAGGCTGCAAAGTTCGTGCATGTCCCATTGTACCGCAGTACCTCCCCTCCACCCGGTAGGAGTGAGCCCTGCTGCGCTCTAAGCCAGAGAGGAGCTGGACACTCCCCAGATCAGATCGCCGGTCCCTGTTTGCAGGTGGGAAAAATGGAATTCACCCACAGGAGCTTCCGGTTCCCTCCACCCACCTCTCCTGCTATTACTTTGCTTCTTTGCCCACGTGTTGCTTTGAACTGCAATCTTCTCACAGCCAGAAAGAGCCAGTGTCAGGATGCATGCTTTTCCTTGGGATGGGGAGCCTCAGGAATGCTGGGGCTCGGAGGGTCGTGTGGGCAGAGTCACCAGGCGGTGGCAAGGGTGGCTGTGGACCCCAACCACGCTGATGGCGGGAAGTCACGCTTGCCCCCCCCGATTAGCAGAGAAGGCTCCGAATGCGTTCTGGCAATGCTGCTGCATGTTGAGATGGACAAACAGGCCTGAGAGATGGTCAGTTAGGACATACACCTGCCCCTGTCTCCTTAGGAGCTGAGGAAGCAAGCTGTGACGACCGTCCCCTAGCTTCTGCTGGGGCCTCTAGAGCCTCGCTGCTCAGTCCTTGAGGCACATAGATTTTTGCAACATCCCTAAAGCTTGTGGCCGGATTCAGATGTCCCCTTCTCCACCCCTTATGCACTTGGCGTTCCCTGCTACCCGTTTGGAAAGTGGTAGAGGAAGCCTGCGTCTTAAATTCCTGTTGCATGGGTCAGGGTCTTCCAAAGCCAGTTGCCGCCTTCCTCTTTCCCCTCCCCCATGACCACTGCCACCTGGTGAGCTCAGTGTCACCAGGCAACCTCTGGCTGGGGAGGGGGGCAGGGCAGAGCTGAGAATCTGGACCTTGATGGATGTCTGGGAACCGGGGAGAGATGGGGCAAGGGTGGGGGTGGGGAGGGTGTCCATGAGGTCAAGGGCCCGATGAGGCAGGGAGGTTTTTTAAGACCCTGGAGCTGGTGGAGCCTGGCTAAACTGCCCTGGGGCCGCTGGTGGCCTCCAGTCGCACTCTGGCCCCCTCCCACGGCTGTCCACCTCCATGTGTGCAATGTCGGCCGTGAATTGAGCTGAGACTAGAACGTGCATGTGCTCTGGTCCTCCCCTGACAGATTGAGAATTCATGGCATTTGAACGTTCACTGCATTCGCCACTTGCAGCGTGCTTTGTCGAGTCTTGTTAGTTGGGTAACAGAGCTAGCAAACCCATAAATCTCTGGACCGTACAGAATCGCTTTTCATGTAGTGAAAACTGTCCTTCCCTGAACCTTTTCGTTTGCACGTTTGAAACCGTTATTCAAGTGGAAGGATAAGTCCATCTTTGGAAAGTGAATTGGGGAGAGAGTTCTGAAGGCTGGGGACGGAAAAGCCTGTGCCCCGGGACTCCAGTGTTGCAGCGTTCGGTGCTGGCGGGTCCCGAGCAGTTAAAGGGTGGCTGGGACACGCTGACGCTCGCCAGCACAGGCTTCTGGAAAAGAGTGGGGAGGGCAGGGCGTTCGGCGAATGGGAAATGCACTTAATCCTTGTATTTCCTGTGAAGCTTTGAGTGTTGGGTCCCTCCCTGAGCTCTCCAGGGGAACGGAAGGGAATGTGTTGGACCACCTAATTAAACTTGTCTGGCTCTAATCTCATGCTGAATTTGTGCAAATACAAGGCCTGGGAACTGCAAATGGCAGCTGCTTCGCGTGCAAGGTGTTGTTCGCAGTGAACAGGATGAGAGTCCTAGAGCTCAGTGGGGGCTTCGCGCAGCACACCCGAGAAGGGCTCTGTGCATGACTGGAAACGTTAGCAGTGAAGGTACTGCCTCTTACTAAGACCACAAGGGGCGCTGCGGAGGGAGTCAGGAGTCCAGCCTCCAATCTTGGTGGCACAGAACAGGCCAGTCTTGCTTATCAGAGAGGCTGGGGGTCCGTGGGTTTCCCAAGGCCCTGAGTAGGGAGCTCTGCTCCCTCGGCTTGAGTCTTGAGCCAAGCACGGCTTCGGGCAATCAGCACAGGCTTCAGGACAGGCGGATCTCTGGGTGTTCTCTCCCTCCAATACGAGTGACGTCCTAGTTCTGCCTAGTTGCGCCTAAAAGCAGAGTGGTGAATGTGTGTGGGTCTACTGGAGTACAAAAGCCAGAGTTCTAATTTCTGTTTTTCCTAGTCTTTCCCTGCCCCTGGTGAAGTCAGAGCACGGGGTTCATTCCTAAACGTTCAGACAGGAACCCACACTAAGGACAAGCACGGGCACCTTTCTGAGCACTGTCTTGCAGCATAGTAAACGGAAACAAGCATTTTGGAAGCAGCAGAAGGACTTGCCTTTGAGCAAGTGCTTGAACCTTTCTGAGGCCTCATTCTCTCGTTTCTAAAAAGGGATAATGCCCGTTGCACAGGATTGCGGTTTAAGTACAGTCCCGAACCCTCAGATGTGAATGGTCTGCCGGTCAGCGCTCTGCGGATTTGAGAGGAGCAGGTATAAACAAGAAGGAAGTGCTCAAAGAGAAAAAAGCAATCACCCGATTTCATCTGGCATCTTTCCACAAATGCGCATGGTCTACCTGAGCACATGCTGCTGTGTCCAGACCGGCTCTGGAGTTTCCCGTTGCGGGGAAGTGACATCCCCTTTGACTCAGGCCCCGGGGCCAGGGTGTGGCCTGGTTTGCTGAGCGGCACCTCCAGGAGCGAAAGCGGAACTGGGGGTTGGGGGGCAGTAATGCCATCCTTGACCTACTGAGCTGCGAGCTTCTGGAAGGTGTACCTGGTTTTCATCATTTTTGTTACTCCATTTACATCTCTATTCTGATATATAGGAAACTCTTGAGCCACGAAGGGCCTGAAAATGGGGTTGCATGGATACGGGGTGCCAAGACCTCTTGAAACAGGTTGAAAGGTCATTCCTGAAATAGACCCCGCCAGTCAAAACATCACACCACAGGCGCTTATTGGAATCAAAACTCTGGAATATTTTTAGCTCTGTGAATCAGAGGGCTCTGGGGGGAACATCTGGAGAGGACTGTGTCTTTATTTATTTATTGTTAAAAATTTTTTTTGTTTTTAAATGTTTGTTTATTCTTGGGGGGGGTGGGGGCAGAGCACGAGCGTGGGAGGGGCAGAGAGAGAGGGCGACACAGAATCTGAGGCAGGCTCCAGGCTCTGAGCTGTCAGCACAGAGCCCGACATGGGGCTCGAACTCACTAGCTGTGAGATCATGACCTGAGCTGAAGTCAGACGCTTAACCTGCAGAGCCACCCAGGTGCCTAGGACTGTGTATTTAAATACCTTACATTTACATAGCAATGACAGGGTGGGCTGAGGCCTGGCTGTGCCTTGCAGAGGGTCTAACTCCGTCCTCACAACCCCAGCAGAAGAGGTGGGGACTCCCTCCACTCAGTAACCTGCGTCTCTGCCCACAGGGCGTGTGTGGGACTTGGCTGCCAGGGGCTGTCTTCTTAATGGCCAGAATGACAGGTGCACACAGAGAGGAATGGATTTTTAAAAAGGTTACTTAAAAAACCCGAAAGCCTTGAAAATGTCAAAAGATTTTTTAAAAAGCTTTGAAAAATCTTTAAAATCACCAAAGGAACGTCACTGACTCGAAGCCAGCATCAGATGCTGATAAATACACGTTCAACTACGGAGAGACCCAGGGAGACTCATTTGTTCTGAGTAAACACGATTCTAGTTGCCGTTTCCAACTGCCCTTGACCTGACTTGATTCGGCAAGGTGTGTGAATCCTCTGTGGACCAAGGGATGCGGTGGGGGAGGAATAAACTAGCACTGGCCCACGGGGTAGGCTACTCGGATACCCCCCGAGATCCTGCCTGACCTCTCCTACTACCGACAGAACGTGTTGCGTTCTCCACCGACTGTAGCTGAGTGAAGTCTGCTGACAGAGATGAAATGAAGGACCTAAATCCACACCCCAGGTAGAGAGCTTAAGGGGAGGGGTAAGGGGTAAAGAAAATACTGGACAAATGGCAATTAAACACACCCGCACACACACACACACGCGCGCGCGCACACACACGCAAACATTGGACAAGAGGAAACAAAAAACAACCCATCTGATGTGGAAAGAAAAGTTTCTTCGACTCTGGCAGAGAACGTGAATACGCTGAAGTCATGAAGATCATGACACCAGTTTGGGTTTGTGACCACATGATGAAATAAGAGTATTTTCAACTCCCGGCAGGTCACAAGGGAAGGGAACCTACTGCGAGCAGGCCCGGGTAGGGTACTAAGGCTGGTCCTTGCAAGGAGAGAGGCAGTAGACATCTATACAGCGAAGAGGTCTTCGGGTCACAAGAGGTGAGGCCCAAAGCCAGAGACAGTTGAGGCTGGGAATAGCCTAGACGGGCAATTGCTAAAATGGTAGGGAAGGGCCACTGGGTCTCTGTGGCCTTGAATTGCAATTTTCGCAGGCATTAATTTGGCTCCACTGCATCGATAAGGGGCTGGTGGGTGTCCTGTGGAACACCCCCATTACCGCCGCCGAATGTCGGCAGGCCAAGGGACAAGAGAGATGCTCCGATTTCTTTAGCGTCTGTGCCTCTGCAGGAGGTCCGTTTCCTTGTGAAACAAAAACAAACCACCGTAAAAAAATGAACTTTTTAATTTTTTTTTTTCTCTGTGGCAGAATCACAGAGCTGTTTTGATAGGGTCTAAAACACTGTTTTTTGGAGTTGTAAAAATTCCAATACAGAAACACACAGAGCAGACATAGGATAAATAGAATCACATCACTTTGTCCAATGGTGGTTCTAAACATTCTTGACTTTATTTTCCTAGAAGAAAAGTCTGAAGGGCTGAATTGGCAATTCTATCGGCACGCGTCTGGGGTTCAGGAAGAACACCACCTCACAGGAGAAGATGAGATCAGTCTCTGGTCACGTACAGCACTACGTTTACGTCTCTGAGGAGGTTCGCATGCTTGTGGGTATTTTGTGGTGGCTGGGAAACATAAGTTTAAAAAAAAAAAACGAAAATCTAAAGCCTAAACCGTTTAAAAAAACAAGCCACTGCTTTTCAAGGTCTTTTTCCCTAAAGACATAAGCTGCTTTACGAGAGGGGTCAAAAGCTTTAATGGACAGCAAATAATTGGTTATTCTTTTGAAATACCTAGACAGATGACTGGCAGATTGGATATGTGGTTGAAAAGTGGAACTTTAAAATTTTATAAAACTAAATGAAGACATGGACCAAATTCTCCAAAAAATTTTAACTGCCAAATGGTCAAAACCTTAAATTGTTTTTAAATCTTAGAGGCTACGGACCTTAGGGAAAAAGCTACTCCTAGCACATAACCGTGTTATTGTAAGGGAAGCAAAAAGCAGGGGAGCGGATGCCCTTAAAGGGCTGGGGGAAGTGACCGTTTTAAACAGTGGATGCGGTCAAGAGCTAGAGGTGTGTTGCAATTTTAAAACAAAGTAACTAAACTGAACGGTGGTGTTCCACCCCATTTACTGTTCCCGGCGAAACGGTGTGAAAATGTGACCACCACCGATGACAGTGCTGTGAGTGAACGTGCCCGACCGTGTGTGGTGCCGACGGACTTAAAATCACACGTGACCGTGTTCAGAATATTCACCAAGGACAGTCCTAAGGTGTCTCAAGAAGCTACACTAAAGATCTGGACAGGGAGAGCAGGGATACACTTGGATTCTTGTAAAGAGAGCCACAATACAGCAAATGCACTCACGTTATCGCTACAGTTACACTGGTCACAATTTAAGTCTTACAGAATAAAGCTATATAGTATGTGAAATTACAGTATGTTTATCTTCTTTAAAACCACTTTTAAAGAAGGGCACATCTGTCGTCTTTTTTTTTTTTTTTTTTTTAGAAGTCAAAAAACCAGCAGAAAAACAGAACGGATAAATGCAGTCTTTAAAATATTTTGTGGCTAATTACATGCTAACTTTCAAAATACAACAGAATTTTTGGTCCGTGAGGCCCTTAAAACACAAAATGTAGGTAAGGTGTTCCCATTTATCAATAGAAATACAAAGTTCGTGAAAAAAATTCGATACTTAGTAAAATATCTGTTGACCAAATGCTTTCTTTGTGTGCGGTTCAACGTTAAGAAATGTCGCTAATATATAATGGGTGTGACTGAATAAGAAAGATGCTTTAATAGGACAGGCTCAAAATCTTCTTTTGAAAGCCATCAACAGCATCAACTGAAATACGGTTCTCACTTCTACCTTAACATGGATCAGAACTTACTGCTTCATAGGCCTGTTTTTCTCCCTCTAGGACAGAGATGAACAGACTGGCCTAAGTCAGGTTCTGTTGCTGCACAGCCACACGGCTCGTTGACGTTCCTGTCTGTGGCTGCTTTCATGCTCTAAGTGCAGAGGTGAGTAGTTTATACAGAGTGTATGATTCTCGAACTCTGACTTAGTTACCGTCTGATCCTTTACAGAAAACGCCAGTCAACCTCTGCCCGAGGGAGTTGCCCAGACCAATCAAAAATAACGCAGTTTCTCTACTTTTCTTAACTCTGCTTTCTCTTATTCTCATGCACGTGTGCAGTTCATGTATTTACGCTTCATTTGACTGGCTGGTGTATACCTAGGAAGCTCATCTTATATAAGGAAGTCCGACAGCAAAAATGAGAACGACAACCAAATACACCTTAGGGTCAGTGCCATTAAATTGGGGGAAAAACAGCTCGAGAGTTTTCAAAACACACACACCTCTGCACCCAGAGGCACCCTCTAACCTATCACAAACTAACAGCTACGACATAATCAAAGTATATTTGCTTTATAAATATATTACTGTCCATATACATAGATACATCCATAAAAGACATGTTAAATAATTATCTGTATAATCAATACTACTTTGTGTGTGTGTGTGTGTGTGTGTGTGTGTGTTTTAAAATTACACACTCTATTAAAATTATCAAAATAACTCTTTAAAAATACCAGGAATAAAACCATTGAAGAGTTGCTTTCCATTCAAGTGGTTCTAAATCTTATCATTGGTCATCCAGACTCCAGGCTTGGTCGTCCGCAACTCAGAAACATACATAGTTCAACGAAGGGAAAGTTAGCCACCGAAAGCCTACCACCCTCCTGTTTTTAATACTTGATAACAAATACGTATGCATGTGTGTATATATACATAGAAAACCGCGCTTATTTGTTATATTACATATTCTCATAAAGGAAATTTCATAAAAGCACAAAGTTCAAGTTTCTACCAGTATCAAACATTTTATACTGGTGTGCATTTCATTCAATGTTGAGGTCAATGACAAACTCTATCAGGATACAGAGATCATCAACAGACTGAAAACTGACATTATCACGTGCAAGAAAGGAGGAAATACTGACGGCCAGTAAGTGGCCAGCTGGGTGCTACTCCCTCTGTAGTAAGACACAGAGACAAGGAACCGGCTAATGACTGTGCAAAGTACCGTCAACTGTCAGTTACTCGGGGCAGAAGATTCCAATCTGAATTCGTTCTCTTCTCTCAGCTGACCACTTGGGGCAGTTTTCCTACTACCTCCCTCCCTTTCCAGTTAGTTATTAGCAAGTCTGGTGAAAGACAGGATTAAGGTGAAAGTTCTGGTGACAATGAAGGTTTGGGATCAGCTACGGATTTAATTGAATGATGGATCCTTTTACTTGTTGCTTTAGATCATCAAGAATTCGCTGTATCTAAAGTCTGCCAACCATCTCATTCTTAAGCTCTGAAAGCCACATGGGTGTCAAAACAAAACCAAAACAAAACAAAAAGGAGGGGGGGACAAATTGTCCTCTTAAGAAAACTGCTATTTCTTAACTCACAGTGAATTACAACTGCAGGATTTCAGTGTGAGTCGTTCAGAGCTAGTCACTTCAGGACAGGTGCTCACAAGCTACAACTACTTTTCCTTAATCTAGAAGCCAGGAAGCAATGACAGACGGCTACAAATGGTGAGCAGGCCACGTGAAAAGTAGGACCTACGTTTCACCGAAGACCTCATTTCAATAAATGCAGTAAACTGTGGCAGAATCTTCAGCTAACGGAAATGCTAAGACTAAGAAAATGGAAGCAAAACCTAGAATTGACAAACGCTTGCACGCTTACGAGAAACAAAACCAAACAAAAAAGGCTTGGAACAGGACTACAGTAAAAGGTACTCCACACTCGTAACCCTATTTTTGGCACTCATTTAGCCTCTACACTGAAACTTGTTCTACAGATAGTTGACCGACGGAATCGAGGAGAACGGAGTCACGAGTGAGCAGGGTCGCGCTCAGACACTCCTCGGAATGGCAGGTGTGGCACCGTCCGCACGGTTTCCGGGCACAGACGAGGGCCACCCTCACCTCAAAAACAACAGCAATAATTATGTAGAACGCCACTTTCCTGAATTAAGTTTGCTGAACACGGTTCAGATTATTGGATATGTCAATATGCACAATGCCTTTTAGAAGCATTTACTGTGTACCCGATTCCTACTCGATGTGACACACAGTGTCACACAAGTAGTGAAAATGTTATCCTAGTCAAAGGTGCTCGGACGTTATTTTCAGGCAGCATTTTACCTTTATTTTTTTAAGTTCTCACTAGGTAAGTTTTAGGAGAAAGAAAATGCCAATAAGTGTATTTAATATATTTTAATGTATTATATAAAACTAACACAGACACTTTTATTTACCTAACTTGTTACTTTTTATGCTCTACCCTAGTCTAGACCTCAATTTTACTTTAAAATTTTGTATTTAAATAAGGGATAAAATGTTGCCCAAAAGTCTAATCATAGTTACACATTGGTGTGTTCACTAGATCTACAAATCAAAATAGTTCTTAGAGTTAAAAAGATACAATTTGTATCAACAGTAAAAGGTACTTTCTGGCTTTTCAGGGCTTTACTTCAAACTGTGGCATGTAGGGTAATCAGAACGACCAGGGCCTCGAGGCAGAGATCAGAGGAGTCTGTCACACGAAGACAATTTCAGA